TTCCAAAGGGTAAAACTACCCTTCCAAAGGGTAAAATTACCCTTCCAAATTGTAAAATTATCCTTCCATTTGGCAAATTGATCAACCCAAAGGTAAAGGAAAGGGAACCGAAGGAAAGGAAAAGGGACGGTAAGAAAAGGAAAGGAAAGAAAATGAAAAGAAATAGAATGAAAGGAAAAGGAAAGAGAAGGAGCGCCCTAAGCCTGAAAACCCTTCCTAAGGTGCAAAAACATGTCTTCCATTTGGTAAACTTATCAACCCAAAGGTAAAGGAAAGGAAAGCGAGGAAATGAAAAGGAACGGGAAGAAAAGGAAAGGAAAGGGAAAGAAATAGATTAAGAGGAAAAGGAAAGAGAAGGAGCGCCCTAAGCTTGAAAACCCTTCCAAATTGTAAAGTTATTCTTCCATTTGATAAAATTATCGACCCAAAGGTAAAGGAAAGGGAACCGAAGGAAAGGAAAAGGAACGGGAAGAAAAGGAAAGGAAAGAAAATGTAAAAGAAATAGAACGAAAGGAAAAGGAAAGAGAAGGAGCGCCTTAAGCCTGAAAACCATTCCTAAGGTGTAAAAATTTGTCCAATTGGTAAACTTATCAACCCAAAGGCGTAGAAAAGGAAGGACAAGGAAAGGGAAACGAAGTAAAGGAAACGGAAAATGAAAAAATGAATTCAAAGCAAGTGAAAGAAAAGAAATGGAAAGGAAGGAAAGAAAAATGAAAGAAATAGAAGGAAAGGAAAAAACAGAAGGTAATGGAAGGACATAGAAGGGTGAAGAATGGAAAGGAAAGGAAAAGAAAATACTAGGGAAGGGAAAGGAAGAAAATTGAAAATTGAAGGAAAGGAAAGAAAATTGAAGGACATGGAAGGAAAGGGAAAGAAAGCAATGATAATGGAAGGAAAGGGAAGGAAGGAAAGGGAAGGAAGGAAAGGATTTTGAAGGATGAAGGGAAGAAGAAGCAATATCACCTATAAATAAATGTAACAAATCACTAATAACAAAATGCATTCGTCTTAAGCTTGAAAACCATGCAAAAGGATTTTTAATAACAAAACGAAAATATAGACGTATTTTTACGAAAATGAGTTTACCATTCTAAAAGGCAGACGCATGCTTTTTATTTGCGGCTTTCTTGTTCAACGTGCAAAATATGCCTTTCCAAGCGGACAACAAAGAAGCGAGTTTGCCCTAAGCCTGAAAAGCGTAGAATCACTATCCTTTTCGACGCTAGAATCATTACAATATGTTTCGTTCTAAAGGGTAGAATTACTTTTGAGAAGAATATTTATACCCTTTTAAATGGTAGTTTACTCGTTTAAAGGGCAAAATTCCTTTTCAAATAAATAAATGGGCTTGGCCTTTTTACGCTTGAACATATTTTCAACATGTAAAACTATCTTACCAAACGATAGAATGCCTGCAAAAAAATATATCGTTGTAAAGGGTAGATTTACTCCCAATAAAATTAGCATTTTGAAGGGCAACGTTGCTATTTATTCACAAACAACAAAGCAAGAGTTTCCTCTGAACCTGAGAACTCTTCCAAAGGATAAATTGGTGAATGGACCGGAGGAAGTATGTAGCGTTCCTGCGACTGTTTGATTCAACGTCGAGGTTTGGGACGCTTAGCAGCTTCCAGCCAGAGGCACGCGCAAACCCGCCAGGCCAATATTCCGGCCGCGGGCAAACAAGAGACGCAGGCTGAGAGCCGGCACTTTGCAACATGGCGCGGCAAGGTTTGCGCAGGCTTCACTCAGTAGGACTTGCGCGGACGACCGTGTGGTTTACGTTTCCTTTCGGATCTTTTGCTGCAGCAATGTGTTTTGAAAGAAAAACATAGAGGAGTCCCGTGAACGTTTTGCAAGTAGGTGCTAGGCACGCGGCGCGCGCAACAGTTACCAGCGACAAGAAGCGCAAACTTGCTATATAAGCGCTGCAAACCACTCATGGCAACAAGGAATAGCGCCTATGTTCTTCAACGTGCGGGCTGAGTTGCAGCAAGCAGTTTCTTTTTGGGAAATTCGTTTTGGCAGGGCCTTCTAAACCAAGCGTGAAGCTCTTTTTCTTCCTCTTGGAACGCACGATGCAGATCGAAATTTGGAGCGCTTTGGCTTTACCAAAACGACGTCGCGCCCGCGGGCCATCAGCCTCGCCGACACTCAAAGCACAATCGCTTCCGCTTGTGGGGCGATTGGTGTTCTTGCCATCTTTTCCCGCATTTTCTACATTGATGCTCGTCCTTTTTGCGGGCGCTTCGGATTGAACAATTCAAGCAATGCCGCTGTTGCTTTGCGCTACAAGATTTCTTGTCCGCAAACAGTGTGTTGCAGCTGCGGCACTTGAAGTAGCCGCGCGTCAGGTTTTCTTTTGCCTTTGCCTGACAGAGTTTGCATGCGACGTGCTCTGGCGGCATAGTGGCCATCGGCGCGTCAAAGTCTTCCATGGGCCGCGTGGCGAAGCACCGGGCGCACTTCAGAGATATTAGCTCCCCAACGCACCGCAGACAGCGCTGCTGCCTCTGTCGAGCGTCGCCGCCAGGGTTTGCCTGCAGCGTGTCGCCGGGCGCCGATGGTCGACGCCCGGGGGGGGTGTTAAATCAAACATTTCGGCAACATGGCGCGCACCTCTGTCTCTGCAAGTTGAGCGCGCGGAAAGGCGTCCTCGATCTTCTTCCTTTTGCAACAATGGCAGACGGCATACTTCACGGCTGGGGTCTTGCGCTTTCTCAATCTCGATGCTTTGCCGTCCTCTTCGTTGCAACAGGTGGCCTTAGCAGGCAAATTCGCCCGGATGCGTTCCCACGCCTTGTGTTCAAAGGCGTCGTAAGTCCGGATTTGCTTGCACTCGGAGCACGCGGCGTAGGGCATGCGGGCTTCTGCAATTGCACCCCAATCTAGCTCTTCCCCGCGCAATTTCTGGAGCAAGAGCTGTGGGCCCTCCGATGCGCCGCGCTGGAAAAGCCACAGCGGAAAAGCGCGCAGAATCAGAATGTCCTGGGTCAGTGTATTTTTGTCGCGCCCCAAAAGAAAAGACTGGCGTTGTTGTCAACAAGAACCGGGGCCCTGCCTCGCGCGAACACACCCGCGAAGCGCCGACCACGCCAAAGCTTTTGTCCACACGGCTGTCCACATTGAGATCCAACAGCGCCGCCAGTAGTGTTTTCCCCTGGCTGCAGTAAGCGGTGATGGCAAAGCCAGGGATCAGGGGCAGGTGACGTCGCGTCACCCCCAGGACCGGCGCTTTGCGGTTCTTATCCAAATACCAGACGTGGCTGCGGGGGTAAATGGGGTAGACGCCATCTTCGCCGACGCCGTCCAAGCGCCACGTGGCGTTGTCAAATTTGATGTAGAGGACGGTGGGCATGCGGTCGTTGACTGGCCACACCCAGGAGTGCACCCGCCCTCTCATGCCCTGAGCAGCCGCTTGTCAGGTGACCTGCAAGCGTGGGGCGTCAAGGCTAAAAAATAAGAGTTGAAAGCGTTCGGCGGGCCACGCCTATCGAGATGCTCAGTCAAAGCCACGGGCATGCCAAGGGCCAGCGGCAATGTGCCAGGCAATCCATGGGTGTCTTGGTCATGGTATTGCAGCCACCTCAGTCACAGCGCTTGCTTGATGTTTGCTTGAGTTTCCAAATTTGAAAACAGTCGCCGGGCGCCTTGCGCTAAAAAGAAGTTGCGCGGCCAAGGTGCAGCAGCTTGGCCTGCTTGTCACACGCTTGGCTCTGTAGCGCAGCTGAAGAAGCCTTGTCTAATGCGACCGACCAGCGTAGGGGCACACCCGCAGACTTCGCGTAATGTTTGGCGCGGTCTTTGTTGATTTGATACTTGGCGTCGTTGTTCGCAACGATGACCGGGGCATCTCGGAACCGCGCCTCCTGAAGACGTGGGTCGTGTGGCCCTATGATGACACGGCGCCGGGAAGCACGCTCTTGTTTCGAAAGCTGACAGCCGTCCACCGGTATGCCGTGCAAATATTTGTGGTTTTCGTCCGAAAGGCACCCGTCGCGGAGTTGATCAGTCACTTCGTTCCACCAGGTGTCCTGGAGATGGGCGGCGCCGGGTTGTTAACGGTTGGGAGAAGCTGCTAGTGTAAGCCAGCCACTACACAACCAGAAACAAGGAGGAGCGTAATCATGGATCCGGGCCTTGCAGCGCTCGCGCTGGCGGAGCTCCACAACTCCTTGCGTGCATTCCCACAGCAGCGCTTGGCCTTGGTCCCTCAAAGCGTCTGGCTCGGCCCCGCCGCCCGGGGCACCAAATTTCTTCGGAATGGCCCCAAGGAATCCGCCATCTATTGGAGGCAGCTGGAAGAAGTCGCCGCCCATGAGCACGTTCACCCCACCAAACGGCCTGATGGTTGGGGGCAAGGGCGCGCAATCAACCATCCAAACAAGGTTTGCTAGAAGCCCAACGGTCCACGCCTGGCTCGTCCAGTGCTGTCGAGCTTAAAGGCGTCTCCGTCCGGCTTGACAGAACAGATTCGGTGGTCGAGTTGCGCTAAGAGCCTGGCGCTGACCATGCTGATTTCATCGATGAAGAGCCATCGCCAGTAGGCTATGCGCTTTGCCGTGGCTTCCGCCACTGCGGCGCTCGCGTCCACAACAGACTTGAAGCCGCAGCTCATATGGATGGTGTCGCCGCACAGTGCAGAAGCATTGACGGCCTGGTAAGCAACAACCTCATAGTCAATGCCTTGCTTGAAGCCAAGAAGCTCAAACAGCTCCCGCAAGAACACCAGGCAGTGGGACTTACCAGACCCCGGCGGGCCATGCAAAAGGTGGCACATGGGCGCCTCGGTGCCCAGTTGGGTGTCGGTGAGCGCCAGCAAACCATACTCCACCAAGGTCCTGTCCACAACCAGGCTCAAGAAGTGATGTTGTTCTGCATTAGTGCTTCCTTGCACGTGACTGCTATGAAGCCAATCTCGCAGCAAATCCGTGGTCACTTCCGGCCCTTCACGCGCGCCCGGCGCGTTTGCAGGCACCCCCAACAATCCTTCAGGCTTTTGGTTCTGCTTTTCTTTTCTGCGTGAATACTCGGCGGATTTCTTTGCCAGAGCATGGTCTTGGATGGCTTCTTCAGGGGCCGTGTGCGACTGCAAGCGCGGTGGGGTCTCAGCTCTATCGTTCTGCGGGGCCGACGCCGGGCATTGCCAAATGGCAGATGAAATTTCAAACATTTCACGGGTCATGTCATGCAGCTTCGTCGTGTTGGTTTTCTCCTCCACGTCAGTTCTGTGATCGCTGCCGTCGACTGGCTTGCTGCCTTTGATGTGCGTGCGGGTGGCTTCCAACAAGTCGTCTTCGTCGAGCGCTAGGACAAGCTCGTCCTCCATGCCTTCGTTGTCACTGTCCTGTGCCAGGCCGTCAATCAACCGCTGCTCACGAGGCAAGCAATAGGCGAAGCAAAAGTTGAGCACGAAGCGCTTCACTTCCTGGCGCGGCGGGGCAGTCGGTGGTTGGGGCGCGCGCTGCAAATCGATTTTGGCGAGCTATTCGTGACCGTGGTTGTTTTTGAGCACTTTCTCTCCATGCGTCCTCGGTGGGGTAGCCATGCTTTTGCACTCTGCTACACAGGGCTTCGCGCCAGTCTGTAGCGCTGACCCCTCGCAAGTCACCAATGAAAGGCACTTCTGGTGAAGCGTCGCGGGCATCGTTCACCCACGGGAAGAATAAAACCAAGATGCGCATGGCCTTTTCATCTTCGGTCTTGCTGCCTCACGCAAGCTAGAATCGCGACTGCTTTTTCACACATACACACACTGTTGGAATTTGTGTTAATTCCTTTGCCTTGTGCCCCGTAGACTGTAGGGACGTAAGGTCGCTTTCGTGGGACGACAATCCAGTCATGGCGATGGGCTTGCGCTTGTTCTCCGTGACCAAGCGGGAGCCATCCAGGCCCGCCCTCCTCGCGGATTTGATAGTGAATGCCTGGCACCAATCGCTGGCGCTTTACTGCCACTTGCAGGCCTGCGTCTGTCAATGCTGCGTGAAATTTGTCGGGGTCTCGAAGGTGGGCATCGTGGCCAGCTTCCGTAATCGGGTGCTGCGCGAGCTCGAAGTCAAATTCGCGCGCAAACTCATACGCGGACAAACCATGGACCTGGCAGCGGCTTTCAGAATTTAATGAGTTTGCGAAACGTCGTCAAGAGCTGTAACTGAACCGACCGCCCGTCTCACGACAAAGAATTTCACACACGGTGTGGTAAAACTCGAATCTTTGTTGTCAAGGCTTGCCTCCATTCGCTGGCCACGCGCGCCATATAGCGTCCAAAAAGGGCAGGTTGTGATGTTGGGGTTGTTTCGCGCTCGGCGCTCAGCGATGGCGCGCGCAGGCTCTGCTGGCCATGGCTCTGCAGCTGCCACTGATTGCAGTAACCGCAGCGGGTAGGCCAAGGACATTTCGGTAGAGGGAGCGCTTTTGACGCTTTCTGCGCGCGTTGCGTCCTTGGTTTCGGCGTTGTGAACCAAGTTGAAACGCTCCACAGCCCCTCTGGAAACGCCTCTCGCAAACAAGTCCGTAGACATTCGCTTGCTCACCCGCGCGCACAAATAGCCAATCGGTTTGCCTTCCAAATCGACAGCGAGATCTCTCTGAGCTTTCATCCACTCTTTGGTTTCGCGAGTTGCGACTTTGAGGCGCTTGTTTTGGTAGTCGCACTGGTAGCCAACCTGCGCGCTAGTGCACTTACGTCCGCGCAGCCCGCACAGAAATCAACATATATAACTTTAAAAAGTTGTTCCCGGACCCTCTTGCGTTGGCCCAACTCTTGCCTGCGCGGCTTGGTTGATCTGAGCTTCGCGCGTCAGCTTCCAAATGGGCATCTTTTGGTCGCATTGCTGCGCGCACTGCTTGTCGTGCGTTGCAGGGCAGATGGGAAAGCGGAAAGGCAATTGCACGTCGCCATTGCAGCGCAGGCCAGCCAGAAGCGCGGGATGGTTCCCGTTCACGTTGGGCTCGTTGCATGGACCCCAAATCAAACCAACCACACTGCGCTTGCCGTTGCAGGGCATGAGCCGCTGGCTTGCGATGCCCGGGCATATCAAGAATGCGTCGTCGGTAAGCCAAGCGTCACGGGGGAAGAAGCTTTTGCATTTGGTTGGGTCCTCAAGTTCGGTCAGGCGGGTGTGATAATGAGCTGATTCCATGTTGTCAAAAGCAGTGGTTCAATTTCTTAGTACAGCTTAGTAGTTTTTGCCCCTTGCCTTCGGGTCCCGGCAGTGATCTAGTGGTCGCCGCTTCCCCTCTTCGTCGGGGATGTGCACATGGTGCTGCTTGCGCTTCTGTAATTCTTCGACATCGTGGTTGAAATAGGCGGCGCACCACTGCGTCGGAGCAAGGTCTCGGTCGCTTTGATAAGAAGGCTTACTCAACATCAAAGTTGAAGTTCGGAATTCTGGCCATTCATTCTCCACTGCATCACGCTCTGCGTCCCACGCTGGCAGGTCGCAATACACCTTCCGGGTGACGTGCGCAGAGTAATCCGAATACTTGCGCAGCAATTCTAGCATAGGCCCATCGCCCATGGCGATGAGCTCACTCAGTGGATTGAATTGATGAAAGCATTGCAAGAAAAATTGCCCGTGTAGGTGGAAAGCGCCGCTCTTCTGACATTCCACAGAGCCGTACACCGCATCAAAGCGCCCAAAGACGCCGCCAGCCGCCGTGGCGTTGCTGCCGAAAGCGTCTGCGCAAGGGTTGCCCGAAGCGGCGCAATCTGGACACCGTGGGCAGAACCTGGCATGTCAACCAGCTTTGCGCCGTGAAACTATGTCTAAACATTTCCGTGCTGTCTGCATGGGTTTTGCCAGCCCTGAGGGCCTAATGCCGAAAATATGTCGGAGCGCAAGCCCTACCAGGACAAAGAAGCCATTCATGCACGCCAGCGGGTCGCGCGCAAGGATCGCTTTGCGGTCATCGTAGTCTGGCAAGGCCTATAGACGTGGCAAGGCTGACTCAATGTGGCTACGTATCCACCGCGTTATTTTGGTTTTGTGGGGCGCTGTTGCGCGAATCTATCTACGCAAGAAGCTCAATTTAAGTTTTGCGTTTCAACATCTTGGCCCACCTCTGCCAAAGCTTCTGGCGACAGCTGAATGAAATCCACATCTAACGCCGGCTGGCTGCGTTGATAGAAGGCCTTGGATTGGTCGTTGGCCAGGGCAGGGTCGCTTTGGCGAGCGCGGGCAAGCCGCAGCATCAGCGTGGTGTCTCGCTCGGAGGGTGAAAATGTGAAGAAGCACGCCAAACCGTAGGCGACCCGATAGCTGTGCGTTTGATGCCGCATGGTCTTGCGCACTTCATGTGTGCCCGGCACGTTCCGCGTGCGCGCTTCTGTGTTGGTAAGGACTTTGGCGGCAGCAGGTTTCAAGGTAGGCACGTGGCGCAATTTGCTGAAGTCGCCGTTGATGGCCTTCTCATCCCCGTTGATATCCTTGTACCTGGGCGATGGGGCGCGGGCAACGGCGCCGATCAACGCCCCAAATACAAGCGCGCTGTCCTGCAAATTCAATGCCAAGGGACTTGCCGTTGGCCAGAAGGGAGTAGATTTGTTGCGCGCCTTCAACAATCTCCTCGTGCGACAACATGCGCCGCCCATGCCCAGCTTCATCCGGCACAGCGAAAATGTGGGAATTAGGCTGCAAGTTGATCTTCGTTCGGAAGAGGTAATTCCACACTGCCGGGGCAAAGCTCCAATCTCGTCGGAATTGCGAGGCAGCCTGTCGGAGCATGGCGCCACCCCATGCCTCCACTGAAACTTTGGGCGCAGTTGGGTTGCTCCTCCGCCGCTGCGATATTTTGAGGTCGCCGTTGTCCTGTACAATTATAGGCGTTTGCGGCTTTACGCAGCTTTTGTAAATCATCATTGAGCCAAAACCGGGAATTATCATAACAAAGAAATGCTGCTGATTGCTGGCTTCGAGGGGCCGCTTCGGAGATGTTGTGGACATCCGGGCCCGCGCCAGCGTAAGGAAAAAGAAAGCAAAATGCTACGGACCAAAAGGCTGGATGAAATTGGTCCATTAGCTTGTTGCCCGCGCGCACCTCCAATGCCGGCGCTGCGTGGGCAGTCCCGGGCTCCGGCGACGTCAAGCGCTCTCGGAGTTCGTTGAGCGCAGCCGCCTGTACCTCGTGGGATTGATGAAGGCTCTTGCCTTCGGCAGCCACGGCCCGCGGACGCTGAGCGGCAAAAGCAGCTCCTGAAAGCAGGGTTGCACACCTTTGATACACGCGCAATTTAAAGGCAAGTCGGTTTAGATTTCTTTTCGGGCGCGGCGCGCTTGTTGGCTAGCATTTTTTATCTTCTATATCGGGCCTGCGGCAGCTATGTCCGCGCGCATGCCATCTGTAGGCGTGGCTGCCTTTTGCGGCTGCAATTTCGCGTGGCTGTCGTCCAGGTTCTCTATCACCTCCAAAACTTCAGGCGGCACGCCATCTTCTGGCAAGGCCGCAGCGTTCGCCCGCACTGCTTCCATATCAATTTTGATGAAGGCGGGGTGAGAAAGCTTCTTCATGTCGAAAATCAAGTCGATGACCACCTGAGCCGTGACAAGCAAATTTCAGAAAAGGTTTCTCATTACACGTTCTTTGCGCTTCAATTGGTTGCTTTGATTTTGGCCCGCCTGTCTGCGCACGTTCGCTTGATGGATCAGCGTTTTGAGCTCTTGGTCCGTCGTTTGCCCTTCTTTATTGGTGCGCAAGACGATGCGCACGATGTCGCTGAGTTGTTTGCCACTGCGGGGTAAAGTTTCCGCATCAGTGTCCAAGTAATCATTTAAGGCGTGGAGAATTTCTTCGGTCGGGAGCGAAAAGGTCAAGAGGTTACCTCGGGCGCCGTACCTGTGGCGCGCCATGTGAGCTTGCTCGTCGAAGTTCGCTGTTCGAGATTGGTTTCGGTGCCGGCTTTCCATGCTCATCAAAACCATGGAAGTCAAAGCAGGGCTGGCGCAGATCAGCTCCATGACGGTGACCTTGTCGGTGTACACTCTCTTGAGCCCGTATCCTGTGAAGAGGTCATTGGCAAGGCTGAGCCGAGGAAGCTTTGCTGCGTGGAGATCGTTGAAGCATTCTCGACAGACCGGGATTTCGCAGTCTTCGCAGGCCAAAGTTTTTGCGGCGACGTGCTCGGGGTGAAGCTGACAACGATGGTCCTGCGCGCGCAAAGTTCTTAGGCTGGAACAATACCACAAGTACGCTTATCGATTTTTGATCTTTCTCACGCGCGGCGCCGTCCTCCGGGCAGCACAAAAGCAGTTTGTCGCCGAGTCTCAGCGTCCAGTCTTCGAATGATTCGTATTCCCGGAGCGTAGTCCCTGCTTCTCGGTCCAGCATCCCATACTTGTCTAAGTATTGCTCCAAGCCAAGATGCTGTTCAATCTTGGCAAAGGCGTGGCCCAGAAAAGTGAAGTCTCCTGCAGGATCCTTGCGACGCAGGGGTTTGCACCATCGGATATCGCCATTTTCTTCGACCTCCTGCACGTACGGGAAGATGCCACCGCATGAAGTGCATATCAGAGACTCCACCTGCACAGTTTGCAAAGCAATGGCCAGATTCACTCACCGGCGTCAAGGCTTATGTTATTTAATACAATTATAAAGGATGGCGGTTTGTTTTTGAGTTCACCGCCTTCTCTCCGGCCACGGCATCGGCGAGCGACTGCAAGGCTGTCCTGTCAAAGGAAGCGCCTGCTATGGGCGCTTGTGCTCGGCACTTTTCGGCGATTGCAGCGCTGTAGACGCTGAAGAAGGCATCGTCCGCATCGCGCCGCAACATATGCAAGGATATTGGTGCCAAGTCTTCTGCGTGGGCATCGCTCAAGTGGTGGTGCAAGGCCTCTTCTGTTCCTACTTGTTGGGCCCATTCACACCCCTGAAAGGCGCAGAATACTTGTGGCCACAGCTCACCCGCGTCCTTGGCCGCTGGCTCAACGTTGGGCGGAATAGTCGGGTGGTCACGCAGGCGTCGCGTGGCCAAGTCCTGGCGTACAAGACAAGAAGAGCGCGAAAGGCTTACATTCATATTTGCTTTTGGAGTCTTCAGTTTGTGGCTGTCCTTGATCAGGTCTTCGAGTGAGCGGCGTGGGTGAGACGACTTTGCGGCAACGACCCCTTCGGCCAACCTTTGGAGCAAGTCCTCGGGCTCTGGCTCATCTGGCATTGCCGTTGGCACGGATCCCGCAGCGGGCTCTGCAACAGGCGCGCTGGGCCTTTGTGATGTTTGCTTTGCCTTGCCACTGCGCTTATTTTGCTTCGCTTTCGGCCTGGGCGCTCCGGGCTTCGCAGCTTTTCTTGTCACAGGCTCGTGCACTGCTGCAGCCAACGGCGGGAAGGCCGTCAATGTCATATATCGAGGGGGCGGCGCTTGCGGCCACGCAGGGGCCATACCCGCAATGTCAGACACAGGAGCCAAAGCGTCGTAGTGATCTACTCCATTGTAGAGAAGATGCACCTCTGGCATCGCGTCGATTTCTGCGACTGACTCGTGGCATTGCTCTTGAACCAAGATGGGGCCGTCGTTCTGTTTTGTGTGCAGGATGACGCGCTTCTCTCGCATTGCAGTATAGGCCAAGATGGCCATGTGCCCTCCCCAATGTTGTCTTTGATCACCTTGCAAGTGCTCCGCCTCTTTGAGCCACTCTGCTTGCACGGTGCTGTCGGTCGCTTCTATTGCCAAACCGTACATGTAGTCGATGATTTCGACCTGGGGCGCTATATATAGTCGGGATCGTGGTAGGTTAGTTTCTTGTATTATGATGATTCTACAGCGGTCTATTGAAAGGGACGTGCCTTCAGCGAGTCGCTGCTGCTGCCTTCTTCGTTCCACGCCAGCGCGTGAAACAAGCAGTTGCCATCCCCAGCGACGGGAATGACTTGCAAGCATCTGATGTCCATGTCGGCGCTCATGGTCATGCTTTTTTGTCCTGGCACGAAATCTCAATGGCGCATCAAATTTCATTTACACGCTTCTTCTCTGACCAACCATACAAGGCTTATCGCGTGCTCATGTCCTTGCTTCGCGAATGATGAGAGTACGTGCGTTTAAGCTTCGAAAGCTTGATCTTGAATGGCTCCTGTGTTGACGTATCAAACACATGTTATGCAAGACGGGTTGAATGAGGCAAACAAAAAGCGCGACGAGAAGTTTGAACGCAGGTCACTTCCCACGCATCGTTTTCTGCCATTGCAGGGCAAAGCGTGCGCAGCGAGAAGCGCGCGCTGTGTGGAGATGAGCTGCACCCACAACTTCACATGGCCCTTTACACGTCGATAAACTCTGGCGCTGGTGCCTCGCCTCGTTTCAAAGCCCGCAGCAAAGCCTGCAATCGCACATTTGCCGTGGCAGAGCACTTTCCCCACGCTGCCCGAGTCCAGAGGAGGGTCGCTGGCGGCAATTCTCTCTCCACTCCAACTATCAGCAGTCGCACTCCTGTTTGCTCGCCAGGTTCTAAGAAACAATTTGCTTCTGAAGCAGATTTCGCGATGGCGGTGAGCTTGGCAACACTCATGTCATCGTTGGCGTCAAGGTGCACTTTCTGGAACGGTGTGCCTGCTAGGCTCCACAATTCCACTTTAATCCTTGCGTTCTCAATGGAAAGGTTGCAGAACAGAATCAACGCTGGCTTCTCCTCTGGGAGGCGTCTCAATAGGAGTGAATGGGGCCCTTCTCCTTCAAAGAGTGGAGCCGCCACAGTGCAATCGTAGACGTGGGTCTGATCGTTCAGCTCCACTGCTTCATAGAGTTGGGGCGCGTAAACCAAAGAGAGGTGCGCCCACAGCCTGCTCATGTCGTCTCGGTTCTTTATGGTAAACCAATTTGTGCATTCGTCGACAGGCATGCCGCTGAGCAATGCTTTCTGGCAATCCTCGCAGTGAAACGGCCATGGAAAACCAATGATGCGGCATTCCAGTGGGTATGGCAACGGATGAGGCGGCATGGCGCAGAAAGCGGGATATTGAGCGGGCGGCTGGGTTTTCAAGATGTTGTTTGGAGCCTCAAGCTGCGCTTGTCTACGGCTTGGTTTGCCGGTTTGTGTGATTGTTATCTTCCCACGCTGAAGCTGCATAGCTTGCGCTCTTTGCTGGAAGTTTCTTTTTGATTCCACGCTCCAATGGACCGAGGTCTTTGCGCGCGTGAAAGCAGCGCCTTTTCAAAAAGAGCAAACTTCTGGGAACTGGCTATTCTCAGCAAACGCGCTGTGGCGGCTTGCTTTTCTTTGAAAGCTCGATAGTTGTGGCGCAGGCGTCACCCGGTCAATCACTCGTGTCAAAATCCATGCGGCGCCTCCTTTGCGCTTCTGTTTCCCAATGCCCGGTCACAGCGAGCATGTCTTGAAGCGACAAAACGAGTTCATTGATTGCCAAAGTCTCTTCTGTTTCGCTGGCAAATGCTGCCAGGGCCCTGAGGAAGAAGGTGATCTTTGACCATTGGCGCCGATGATGGCGCAAGTCTGATAGAGCCCGTAGCTTGGTGAATGGGGCAGGTTCCTGTGCAACCTCCAAGCGGTTTGTATCATTCGGGCTGCTGGGTGCAAGCGCGGAAGGCTTGTGGGGACCAAGCCTGGCCGTTGCGAGGTATGCGTTCGCAGAAATAGAAAAGGCGAGCATGAGATGGCACGCTGCTCGGGCTCCGCAACACGCTGCGATATCTGCGAACTCTTCAGACGTTGCTTCCAACTCCTCCAGGCGCTGTTCTGCAGCTAGCGGGCAGGCTGCAACGTAGCGCTGAAACACAGCGGCCCAAGCAACCGCAGGCATGGCTCATAGCAAGGCTGCGTGGGATACACGCGCGCTGGCTGATGAGCCGATAGATTTAACGGCAAGCGAACGGCGCGCTCTTCCACTGTAATTTTACATGCGCAAGCAAGTATATAACCAGCTCGGTCAGTCAGAGAACCATCTAGCAGCCAGTTGGAAGCGTGACTGTGTGCGCTTGCAACGCTTCTTTTCTTTTGCGGAAAGATACGGAAATAGCGGTTGCTCGGACGACTTCAATACGCCAGGTGGTGTGGCGCCGCCAAAGAAGTTCCATGCCCAAGCGCATCGAGCCAAAGCGCAAGCCGCTTAGCGGCAACGTTTGTTTTTGTTGACAATCTGCGCTGGGGCGGGCGTTCTGCTGCAGCCCGGCTCCACAGTATGGTCCAGGGAGGCAACGCCCGCGCGCACTGTTTTAAAATCGCGCGGACTTGCTGGTTTCTAGATCGCAAGCGTCCGCTGTGGAGGGCTGCTTTTGTAGCTTCGGTGAGGAGCCAGCCCATTGTGCGAGTTTGTCGTATAGCGCTACCGGTGGCAGTCGCCGCAAAACAGAGCCGGAGACGTTGGAGAAAACGACGCGCAACCCTTCCTTCTCGATGGTGAGGTTGCAGATTACAGCCATTTGCTCGCGTGGAATACGTCGTGCCACGATCGTCGTTTGCGTCGCGGTGGCGCCAGGGTTGGGTAAGGCCCAGACTTTGATGTCTTCAGGGCCCGTTGGCAAATCCACGGTTGAGCAGCCCACAAAGAAAAGCGCGCGCCCAAGAGCTGGATTGCACAGCGTGAAAACATCAGGCAACTGATTGGGATGCGCTGTCCACGCGCTCAAGGGAAGGTGCTCGATCAACCAGGCCTGCTTGGCCCCATCGTCCCAAGGCCACCGGCATTGAAGCAGCGCCCATTCACACGCCATTGCATTGCGGTATAGGGGCGCATGCGACACCGACTGCGAGCCAAACGGCCGGTTGGCGGGCAAGTGTGGAAAGGTGGCGCGGTGTTTCACGTGGCGACCAGATTCAACGAGCGGTGATCAGAGCTAATTTTTCCTTTTGAGTCCGCTGGGCAATCAGGGTGGTGTGGTTGGATGAAACGGCGGGATGTTTTCCAGCTCGTTATTAGCTTCAGAATAGTGCACGTGCAGAGCCACAGAGAAGGTCTTGTAGCGAAACACGATATCCAAATTGGGCGCCCAGAATGGCTGCGCAAAGCGCAGCCCGCCACTTTGCCAACTGATCGTCGCGGGGGAATAGAAGAAGCTTGCGCAGCCCGTGCGGAGAATTTCCATCAAGTTGTCGAAGCGCGCGTGACCTGTGCGATGTGGGTTCATGCGCTGCAAGACGTCCACAGGGCGGAGGCCACGGAAGTATGGGCGGTCCTGAACCCATTGCTCCATCTGATATTGGCGCATGCGATTGAAGTATGCTCGCCTGTGTGGGTATGGTGCAAGGCACAAGCATGGATGCCAGGGGGGCTGCCACCATTGAAAACGACGCAGCTCGATATCCAGAAGGTCCATCGGGCCAAACCCAGGGAAGAGTAACGTGGCGTCTGCCAGGTACGCGATCATCGCAATGATTTTGTCCAGTGCCGCGCGGTGGCCTTGCAGCACCATGCGGCCAGCGTCGCCAGCTGGGCGACAAGTCGCGGCGAAGGCCAAAGCGTCCCACCCATCACAGAACTCGGCCAGCTGCACGCACAAAAGGGCAAAGGGTAGACGCAGGCTTGCCATGAGTGGACAAATGGCAAGGCGTGGCTGAGGAGGGGAGGAGTTGCTGGCTCAAGTGAATGGCTAAATTGAATAAGGGCAACGATGTGGGCTCATGCTGGTGAGCAACTACTATTGGGAACAAACACGCCTGACATTTTCTTGAAACGCGCATTATTCCGTGGCTGTGAGGTCACGCGGGGCCCACGTCTACTTTTGACATTCGGGCGCTAGCGCCTCAAAACCATTCCCTCAAGGGAATCCACCCAGGGCCAAAACAGCTTCTCCATGAAAGCTCTTTCTGTGTAGCGAAAGCAAAAAGCCATGGGGAAACCGTGATATTTGAAGAGGATCATGAGGCCAGGCCCCGTGCAATCTGAAGGGCCATGGTCTCTGTCACCAGTCGCGTCCAACACCAGAGGCGAATAGAAGAATGTCGCTTGCCCGGCTGCCAACAAGGAGAGGAGCTTTTCGAAGTTTGCATCGCCTTGCACGGTTGGGTTCAAGCGCCGCACAGCTTCTAGAGGGGATATTGCTTGACGTTGAGATTCATAGAGCTGCCATTGGATCCACTCCTCCATGTTGCCCGCAGCAGGGTATTTGAAGCTGTTCCACATGAAGTCGGGGACTGATTCATAGCGGACAGACCGGTGATACGGCGGGTCCCAAACACGTAGCCAACCGCTCATCATATCGATGTCCTCAGCGTGCTCAAAGCCCGGCATTCGCAACCCAGCCTCCATCAAATAGGTGGACACGCTTCTCAGAGCGTCTGCAGCGTCGTGAAGATTTTGCAGCAGCTTCGCGTTGCCAGCCAGAGCCTCACGACAAGTAGTAGCAAGCGCAAATACCGCCCAGGCATCTAATAGTTCAAGGCATTCCATGCCGATCACCGTGCACAGAGTGACGCGCGCCGGCATTGATTAAAGCGACGATGCTATGGTGGGATTTTGTGCACTCGCTGGGCTTTGAGCAAAACCTGCGATACGCAAAGAAAACACGAAGTTGTGACGGCAGCTGTGCTCAGCGTGCATGGACTCATGAAGAGAAGCTCGGCTTGCGCGCTTGCTCTTTTTTGCTTGACCTCGTCGACTGGTCGACCCTGGACAAGAGGTCAGTAAACGTGGGCCTGTCGCTCAGTGCACTCTGGTGGTCTAGGCGGTCGAGGCCCTAGCAGCTCTTCTAAGGGCATTGGAATTGCTCGACGCGGCCTTCGCAAGTCTACTCGGCGCACGAGGAGATACCAATGGTAGCGACCAAAGCGAAAATCACGTGTGCGCTGACGCAGTCGTTGTTGCCAGTCTCGCAACAGTCTCACAGGCAGGCATCTGCGATGCAGCGCACGCACAAACGCTTCAATCTCAACGCGCAAATCGATCTGCAGATCATAGACGATTATTTCCCAGAATGGGTTTCGTAGTTCGTGCCCACGGCAACGACGCTGCAAATCAGCTTGCCACATACCCAGCCGTATACCAAAATTGGCAGCGTCGGGCCGCATCGCCGTTGTCACAAACTGATGCACTTCTTCGTCCAAATCTGCGGGAAGGGCTGTGGGATAGCAAAGAGCATCGTTGTCCACATGCGCGTCGCGGTCCGCTGTCTTTGCGTTGCGCCAGCTCGTGTGCTCCTCTGGTCGTTGGTGGTCTGCTGGCCTCAGTCTGCAGCTTCCGAAATGTTGCGCGCTGGAATTCTTTTTTCGGTCAGCCCAGCCCAGCCGCGCCTTGTATCCGCCATTGGTGCTTGCTCGTGGGGCCACGCTAGGAAACTTTCGCGGGCCTCTTCCTCAGTTGCGTCGGCCCAGCTTTTCCCTGGCGGTAGCAGATCCCAAAGGGCCAGCGCCATGGCAGATTCTCACGCTGCGCTTGGCAGTGGCGGGGCTTGGGTTATTTACACGCTCTCAAATTTTCTTCGAGCCCTGTTGCGAAATCCAGCGCTAAATGGTCTGGGCACATGCGAACGCAGCTTGTCCGTAATTTAATCGTCCATGGATTTTCACGATGGCAGCTAGGTCTTCGCAGTTTTTTCCACGCCGCACGCATGTGGCTGCGCGTGGTCAGGCACGGGCCCTTGCGTTGCCTGCCCGCTCTGGTTTTTCAACGTCTTCAACACTACGCTTCTTCTTCGCTCGTGTTGCGGTTGAAGTCGATGATCTTGCCGGCAGATCCCTTTTGTCACGTCGAAAAAGGCACCAGCCTATGGCTCCGCGTAAAGCCGTGAAAGGAACAGGTTCTGGCAGCCGCACAGCATTAGCTAAAAGCAAGCCACGCTGAAATTCTTGATCATAGGGTAGAGGTTTCTGGGCTGGCCACAAATGCAAATGCTCTGCTGCGCGGAATTCTTCGACACTCATGACCGCAGTTTTTGTGATGGTGACTGAGCCATAAACGAGGCCGCCCGACCCCACCCATGCAAATCCACAGGCTGCGTTGCGTTTTCGAATTTCCATCGTTTTGCGGCCGTCCAGAACGTGGGATAGCCACGGCTCCTTGAGCACCATGATTCGCTCCCCAACAGCTGGGAAACGGATGGGGGCCTGCAGACCAAAACGCAAGCCAAGCGCAAAAAGACGCGTGCTTTGCAGACCGTGCCTGCCTCGACATCAACCTTCCCGTCGCCGCCGACTGCGGGCGCCGCTTGGCTTTCTGTTTCTGCACTCTCGGCGGACATGGCGTTGAAAGAAAGGTGACTGGACGGGACGCGCGCTCGATGGCTGGATTATGGTTTTGTTCTATTCAAAAAAGCAGCGGCGTGTTGTTCTTTGTTTACGCAACACGCTCACTCACAAGTGACTGTGCATGGTTCAACTGCCAGCAAGCATTTTTTTGTGCGCAGGCCGGCTCACCAAAACTGCGCTCTCTAGAGAGAAAGAGAGCAACAGGGTCAAGATGGTCCTTGCCCTGTGTCATTGCAAACTGCGTTGATTTCAAACTCAGCGCTGGCCGGCCGGGAAGACTGCTGCTTGTTCTTGAAGCCAAACCGCAAGCTCATCATCTTCGCCGGCCAGGTTTACGAAATAAACGGGCAGGCCTTTCAGCACTCCCTCCAGCACTTCAAGGATGCGTTCCCGGGAGGCCTCATCGTTTGTAATGTTGATATAGCGAATGTATTCGCTCTGGCCTCCGCTCATTGTGGGCAAGGTTGTTCCTTCTATTGCGCGGTCGTCAAACCGCTCGCGGAAACTGTAAATGCCACCAAAGAAGCTCAATAAGTATTTTTGGTTGTCGGTATCTTCGTCGTCGTCTTCATTGTCCAGGTCCAGCTGGGCGATGATGTGCCTCCGGCCCTTTGGCGGCAAAGCTGCAAAAGGTGCGCAGGACGCGCCCGGCTCTTCCGACGCAGCAAGCGTGCACCACGGCGCAGCAATTTCAATGTCATCAGGCAAGTCCGACAGCATCTGGATGCACATGCGGGGCCGCGCGGTCAAAAGCCCCTTCTCGACCTGACACGTGGGTTCGTTTGCCAGTGAATGCATGGTGGAGCGCGTGGGGTTATTCCGACGCGTTGGTGTCGAGCCTTGTGATCCAAGACGAGCTGAATGAAGTCCAAAGCTGCTTGCGGTGAGCGCCCTGCCACGTAGAGTGCAACTCGCCATTCCACCAAGCCCACACCATCTGGATCTGCTGGGCCGGTCTGGGGAGGACCTCCAATTTGCAAGCGGACATTGGCCTTGCTCTGCAAATCTGCCAGGCTACGAATAGCTTCATCTGGGTGGGATTGCAGGGCGTCTCGCGCTGCGGCCATGATTTTGTAGCCAAAGGCTCTTGCCTGCCCACCGCCAATCTGCACCTGCCAGAGAGGCACGTTCACGTCCAGGCCTCGCGGGATTGGCGCGCTTTCATGTCGAACGAAGCGTTCAAACGCTTAGTAGTCCGCGCCTTCGAAGACCCAGAAAGCATGGCCCCAACGACGGGCAATAGCCACCAAGGAAGAGCGCGGCCCCAGCTCCAAGCGCGCGACAGCCGCAGAATTGCCACGCTCCTTGAGTTGCGCGGCAAGGGACGTGCGCTTTACGGCAGGCATGCTGATTGCCGAAGGAAAGATGGCTCGAAGGGTGCTGGGTTTGAGAAACCTGAATGCTGCCACGCTTCTTTCTTCATGCGCTAAACTTGTTTGCGCCCGTGTCATGTTTAAATTTGCGCGTGCTGAAAGACGCGTTCTCAAGTGATATAAGACACTCAATCAATCCAGTGGAATGGCCGCTGCTTAGATTAGTCGGACGGTCGGCTTTTTCTGCGTGGTGGTCTTCGCGTTGGTCTGTAGTTTCAGCGCATGCTCGGCCACTCTCCTGACGAAATGTTGAGGTGCGCTGCCCTCATACAGGTTTTGAAAGAAAACTAAAAACTGACCATATTTTTAAGCGAAGCTTTGGTTTACACAACGGCTGTCTCAGCTAGAGCGCCTAGCCTATACAAAGATCTGCCTGGCTAGAAGCTCGCTAAGTCAAGGTTTTAAGGTTGGAGAGGTCATAGATTCAGTGAAGGCGAGGTCATTGTTGGAGGCCTCTAAAAATTTGGTAAGGATAAGCCTTCAGACTTTCACGCCTGGCGGATAAGCCTTCACCTCTGGATGCCTATTGATGGAGGTCCAGTGAAGGCGAGGTCATTGTTGAAGGCCTCTACCGAATAGGGGATGATAAGGCGATTCATCTCTGGATGCCTATGAGGTTCAGACTTCAAAGCCTGGCAGATTCCATTGATGCAGAGGCGAGAAGTTTTCACTTTGGACGCTTTCAGGATGAGACTTCAGTGCTTGGATTCCACTGATGGAGAGGTCATAGATCCAGTGAAGGCGAGGTCGTC